CTCACTGTGCTGCCACTTTGTCGCAGCGTCGGATCCCAGGGGAGGTCTGGGCCCTGGGGCCCCGGGGCCGTCAACGAAAACGACGCAGGACGAAAAGCCGGTCCCAGGGGAACCCTGACTCCTGATCCGCCCTACTTTGGGCGATTTCGAAAGTAGGGCGGAAATTTCCGCCCTACTCTTGAGGCCCCTCTGAGCGTCGACTTCCGCCCTTGGGGCTCCTTTGGCGTCGATTTCCGACACAATTTTAGGTCGGAAAATCATCCAAAGTACGGCGGATCAGGAGCCAGGGCAGGGGAAGGGTCGGGATTTCCGGGGGCGCCGTATAGAAACAACCAGGGCGATGTTGCATCTTTGTCGCAGCGTCGGATGCCAGGGGAGGTCCGGAGTACATCCTTGGAGCCGGTTTTCCGTCCGCGGCCGCTTCTTGACGGCCCGCGAGGCCCCGCGAGGGCCCCCGGAGGCCCAAGGGGGCCCAATCTCGACTTCGGATCCGCCGTACTTTGGTGGGTTTCGCAAGTAGGGCGGAAAGTTCCGCCCTGCCTGTTGAGCTCATTTGATGCCCATTTCCGCCCTACTTTGCCGTCGCTGTTTTCGCCACACCCCTGCGGAAGTATCCGCGCTATCTCTCCCTGAGGTGGACGATTCCGCCATACTGTTTCGCATCGTTTGGGGTGCATTTCCGACACCATTCCAAGAGAGTCGACCAAGGTACGGCAGATCCGAAGTCAGGGATTCCCCAGGACCGCCTCTTCGTCCTGCCTCGTTTTGTTGACGCTCCCAGCCCTGGCTCCTGATCCGCCGTACTTTGGATGATTTTCCGACCTAAAATTGTGTCGGAAATCGACGCCAAAGGAGCCTCAAGGGCGGAAATCGACGCTCAGAGGGGCCTCAAAAGTAGGGCGGAAATTTCCGCCCTACTTTCGAAATCGCCCAAAGTAGGGCGGATCAGGAGTCAGGGAGGACCGCCTCTTCGTCCTGCGTCGTTTTGTTGACGCTCCCAGGGCCCGGCGAGGGCCTCCGGAGGCCGCGGCGACGGCGGAACGCCGCCCGTCCTGATTTTGTCACTGCGCTGGATCCCTGGGCACTCCGACCCCCCAACTGGGAGCGTCGGGTCTCTGGGGCGGGGCTCCCTGAGGGCTTGTCGACGTTTCGCCAATGGACTGGGGATCGAGCCAGATAAATCCAGGTGGATGCAGATGAATCGAGATACATCGCCCTGACTCCTGATCCGCCCTACTTTGGGCGATTTCGAAAGTAGGGCGGAAATTTCCGCCCTACTTTTGAGGCCCCTTTGAGCGTCGATTTCCGCCCCTGGAGGCTCCTTTGGCGTCGATTTCCGACACAATTTTAGGTCGGAAAATCATCCAAAGTACGGCGGATCAGGAGCCAGGGATCCAGGTGAATGCAGATGAATCCAGATACATCGAGATACATCGAGATACACCCGGGCAAATCCAAGCTTAAATCCAGAGGTCCCCAGGGAAAGTTGCAGAGCAACTCGCGGTCGCTCTTTTAAGCGCGAGTCGAAGGACGGCAGAAGTCCTCCTCCCTCCTCCGCCCTCCTCCTCCTCCTCCTCCTCCTCCTCCTCCTCCTCCTCCTCCTCCTCCTTCTCCTCCTCCTCCTCCTCCTCTCGTTGAGCCTTCAACGAGCGGTTTTCGCACCCCCGGGGCGGGCGCCGATGGCGGGCCGCCGCGCCGCCCTCGCCGCCCTCGCGGGCGAGGCGTGCCGGGCGCCCCGGGGTGCGCGGGCGCCCCTGCGGCCGCCGCCTCTGGCGCTGGCCGGCGCGCGCGGGTGTGCGGAGGCCTCGGGGGCCCGCCATCACCCCAGGCATGCTCGCAGCGTCCCTCCTGCTCCTCCTCCTCCTCCTCCTCCTCCTCCTCCTCTCTCCGCCTCCCCTTCCTCCTCCTCCTCTCCTCCTCCTCCTCTCCTCTTCCTCCTCCTCCTCCCCTCCCTCCTCCTCCTCCTCCTCCTCCTCCTCTCCTCCTCCTCCTCCTCCTCCTCCTCCCCTCTTCCTCCCCCTCCCCCCCACTCTCCTCGTGGCACTGCCGAGAGCCAACGAGGGCCATCACAGATTTATCGATATCCCAGAGATCCTCCCCCTCCTCCTCCCCCTCCTCCTCCTCCTTTTCTTCCCCCTCCTCCTCCCCCTCCTCCTCCCCCTCCTCCTCGTCCTCCTCCTCTCCTCCTCTCTCCTCCTCCTCCTCCTCCTCCCTCCTCCTCCTCCTCCTCCTCCTCCTCCTCCTCCTCCTCCAGCGCCAGCTCGGCCCAAGGCCTGTCGGGGCCGTGCGAGCACGCGCTAGGGGTCCCCCTGCCCCGCCCGCGCCCTCCCCTCCCCGCTTTCTCCGGCCCCCTCTTCTCCCCTCGCCGCCCGCGGGATGGAGGGGCTGCCGACCCGGGAGGGTGGCGCCCGCCGCCCCAATCGGCCTGCCGCCGCACGCCGCGCCCAGGCGGTGCGGGCGCGGGGGCGGGCCACCCAGCATGGCCCGCGCCTTGCGCCAGGTGCTGGAGGCCGACCGTGAACATGGAGCTCCTCCCCCTCGCGATCAGCATCCGCGTGACGCTGATGGACGACGAGTGGTGGATTTTCCGCGAGTGGGCCTTCCTCCATCAGCCGTGGGTCCTCAAGCTTGTGCGCGAGCTGACCACGGGGATCTGCACCTCCGAGATGCTGGGGCGCATCTTCGACACGCAGGTGCGAATCCTCCGCGTGAAGCGATTCCTCCACCAGTAGCCGATCTCCCACCAGACGTGCTACCACCAGGTGCACCTGTCCTCCAACGTGGAGGCCTCCGTGGCGGTGCGCAGCAGCTACCTCAAGCAGGCGCTAGAGGTCTAAGAGCTGACGCTCCATACACCGCATCTCCTGCCCAGTCGGCTGCTCTTGGGGCCACGCCTCGTCGTCGACGGCGTGTCAAAGAGGCGCCTGAGCCCAAGGACGCGGAAGATGTCGAACGCGTGGACGACGATGCGTCGACGCTCCGTGAGCGTCGATCCTCGATAAGGCTTCAAGTGACGTGCCCTTCTCTGTTGGCTCCTCATCACGTTGCGCTGGCGCGGGTCTGGAAGAAGGCGCGCGCGCCCATGGCGCTAACACCGAAGACATCATAGGGGCGGATACGCAGCCCCTCCCCAAGCCTCCGAAGGAGCCTCATACGGATAATGCTGGCAAGGATGGTGGGCATGACGACGGCGGCTCTGTAATTTCTCCTGTCGTTGCCCAGGTGTCCCAAGTGCCTCCCTCGGAGCTCTCTGATTCAAAGTCGGAGGAGGGGCGAAGAAACGCCCAGTCGAAGGCCAGCGACAATCATCCAGTGATGCAGCCAGTTCTTTGTCCTCCCGATCGGCGCGTGGGAGGCTTGCCAGGACAGGGCGGAAGTATCCAAGATGCGCGAGCTGGTGCGGAGACCAGGGCCGCAGGTTTGTTCACTGGCACATTCGGGCCCACGGCTGGCGAGCAGGACGAATGCGTTCCAAAACCATTCGCGCCAAATGGTCCCGTGGCGTCTGGGGCACCGAAGGATGAAAGGGCGGGCGTCCATGACGTGCCCGCCACGCTGGGGCCCGTTACGAATGCCATGTCGATCGACTTCGTGGGCGTGTCCACTCCGAGCGCCACTCCTGAGTCGGCGGTCTTGCCGATCAGGCCTGCCGCGCGGCCGCCTGCCGGTGCCCCGTCGGTGCTCGGGTCACGGGCCAGCGGTCGGGCGGCGCTGCCGCTGACAGCACCTGGCCTCCGCTCGGTGTGAGAGCTGACATGAACTCCGAGGCTCATCGCGCGGAGGTCGACGAGGTCCACGACAGTTTGCGCGGTCTCACTGGTCGAGGCGATCAATGGCAAGGTGACAAACCGCACCCAGCTAACACAGCCCATGGCGAAGCTAGCGGGGTGATGGCCGCGAGCCGAACCCATGGTGAAGCTCGCGACGCCACTCAGGCGGTGGAATGTAGCCCAGTAGTTGTTCGGAACATATTCGAGGGCTTCATTCTGAGTCTGCACGCCGCGAGCTGGCCTCAGGAGCTACAGCTGCTGGTTTGTTGACTGGTGCTTCTGGGCCCACCTTTGGAGCCACTAACAGCCTGCGGCAAAACAGCGAGCCGAAGACGGTCCAGACAGCCCATCGCGAGTCTGACCGCAAAGACGGCGGGTGCCGGGCACTCCGCGAAGACATGAGGTTCCAAGTCAGCGGTAATCTGAAGACAGAAGTGCCAGGTAAGCGACGCCGTGGCCGCCCTCGTCTCCACCGAATCCCTGTCGGCCTGTGCGGCACCGCGCACAAGGTCGACTTCATGGTCGGGACGCGCAGCCACGATGAGGTCTACGGGGCGCTCGTTGCCTGGGACCTCCCGCTGGAGGGAGGTGTCGACATGACCTTCCATCCGTGCGACGAGTGGCAACATTTCACACGGGTGTCTGACTTGTTGCTGTTTCCCTCCTGCTCGTTGCCCGGGTGAGTGACTTGTCTGGGTTGTGGGTCACACGAAGGAGGACGTCTACGCCCTCCCTGTCACTGGCTTCGCCTGCGGCTCCGCGTTGCTCTCCTACCTCATGCTGGACGGGATCTTCCTTGACCCGTCCTTCCCCCGCACTTTCTTCCACCTTGCCCTCTCCGCCATCGTGGCGTGAGGTCGCCTCGGCGTAGACCGTCGGGCGCGCCAGCCAGCGCGGCCGTCGAGAGACGCCCGAGAGGCGCTGCGATCGTCCTCCTCCTCCTCCTCCTCCTCCTCCTGCTCCTGCTCCTCCTCCTCCTGCTCCTGCTCCTCCTCCGCCTCCTCCTCCTCGCTGCTCCTGCTGCTGCTGTTGCTGCTGCTGCTGCTCCTCCTCCTCCTCCTCCTCCTCCTCCTCCTCCTCCTCCCTCCTCCTCCCCTCGTCTTCCTCTCTCCTCCCCTCCCCCTCCTCCTCCTCCTCCTCCTCCTCTCCTCCCCCTCCTCCTCCTCCTCCTCCTCCTTCCCCCCCCCCCTCCTCCCCCCCCTTCCCCCGTCTCCTCCTCGTCCTCGTCCT